AGATCGTCTACAAGTGAGTGGCGCTTAGCTGCATTCTTGGTGCGCCTAGTGCATCCATTCTTGTGCCCCCATTCGCCATTACTTGCGCCCCACGCCGTCCGTTGGGTTGCGCTTCTCGTCTTGGCTGCTGGCGCCCCCATGTGCGTTGGGGCTGCGCTTCCCGCCTAAGGTCATGGTTTCTTGTGCTACTCGTTCCTTCGGGCGAGTGCAGCGATGCCAGGTCTTGCGGGCGAGATTCGGCTGCGTCTCTCGTGCACGTTGCTGCTCTCCTCGTCCCCCGCTATACTTGCCGCCTATCTCACCGCTGACGTATGCATGTGTGGACACCTCAGACATTGGCCCCTCAGGGCTGCGGGAAGAAGAAGAAGGAAGAGGAGGAGGAGGAGGAAACGGAGGAGGAGGAGGAGGAGGAGGACTCCGACACATGGGGCTTAGGAGGGCTGGGTAACATGGTCTTCCAAACCAACTCGGGGGGGCGGCTCCTCATGCCGAGTCTCGGGGGCGAGGGGCCCGTGGCTGCGGCCACCTCCTTTTTCCGCAGCGTCGGCCCAAATCTTGCACGCCCGATCCAGGAGAAGTTGGGCCCCCGCCCCCCTGACAGCCCTCAATGACCCCAGGGGGAACGCTGATGGAAGGGGCCGAATCGAAAACGCACGCAGGGGGCATAGCTTGCGACGGGAGCGGCGGTGGTTGCCGAAAAGGCCAGCGATTTCAACCTCCCCACCCGGGGGCGCAACTCAACCTGCGCAGGGCAGATCAGGGCAGTGCGGGGTGAGGCTAGAATCGCGAATGGCCGTGACAACTGCCACCCCTTTTCGCAAGCCCAGGGCTGGACAGAAAAAACAAACTTCTTCAGACCCGCCGAGGAGCGACACGCGTGTTCCCCCGTGGCCAACAGGTTGATGTTTTTGGCCTCCTGAGCTCCCGACCCCAGGACCGTGGACGGCTCCATGCTGAAGTCGCCCCCCAACAAAAAATCCAGCCCCAAGGAATCCCCAAGAGAGCAGGTGGCAGAGAGCAAAGAGAGGTTTCGATCCGAGAGGTCCTCACAATCGTAAAAATACGCCGAGACCATGAGGAGGGGCCCAGATCCAGGAAGCTCAACAATAGCAGCAACAGCCCGAGCCCGCTCAACTTCGTGGCCAGACAGAGGAGCTCGCAGGCCAAAACCATTTCGAACCAACACAGCAGTGCCTCCCGACGGCCCACCACCTGGTCCAGTCGTGGCCGCCGTCCACAGAGACTTCCAACCGTGTCTGGTGGCCCTGCTGGAAGCAGACGGAATCTGAGCCTCGAACTGCTTGTGTTCTTGGAGGAGCACCACATGAGCAGTCGTCTTTTCCAACCACGCCTGGCCCGAACCCCGTCCTGACACGTTACAGGTCTCGATGATCGGGCAAAAAGTGTTCGTGGGGAACGGAAAAATACCAATGGGCTCCGTCAAAACCGAACTCCTAGAATCTAAACCCGAGGGCAGAGAGGTGACTGTTTCCTCTGGCCGCGGCGGGGCTCCCATGGGGGGCTTTGTAGGGGCTCGGATACACCCTGTGGGACAAAACCAGGTCGGCCCTAGCCAGGGTGTGTCGAATCGCACGAAAAAGAGGTTCCTGGAACACGAATTTGGAGCCAAACGAATCTCGGTCAAGGCGTGGGAAGACCGAGTTTTTTGTATTTAAAATGTGCGCTTCCCACCTCCGAGGCCCGGACAGCCCATTGAACACATGAACAGGAGGAGGGGGGGAGGAGGGGGAGGAGGAGGAGGAGGAGGAGGAGGAGGAGGAGGAGGAGGAGGAGGAGGAGGAGGAGGAGGAGCGGAGGAGGAGGAGAGGGGGAGGAGGAGGAGGAGGAGGAGGAGGAGGAGGAGGAGGAGGAGGAGGAGGAGGAGGGGATGATGGGGAGGAGGAGGTGGGGAAAGATGAGGAGGACGAGGAGGAGGAGGAGGAGGAGGAGGAGGAGGAGGAGGAGGAGGGGGATAATATCGACCCTGACCGCATGATGCAACCCGACAGCGCCAAACACATCGGACAAGCAGGAGCAACTTACGAACCAGACCTCTAAGAGTTGCAGTTTGAGCCATACTCGCCAACGATCCCAGTCACACCAACGCCCACAGTCATCTACACCTCTTCCACGAGAAGCACCTAATCGGATGAAAAACTAACCACTATACCAGCCTGGTCACCTACCCCAGTCTGCACGTCACCACCACAGCTTGGCTCACGTGCGCGTACTTCACGTACAGTCCGCTTTGCAGAATAACTACAAGGAGGAGGTGGAGGAGCACTCGAGTATAGGCGATACTACTTTGTTACTGCGCCGTGCGTCAGGGGCATAACATTACGGCGTGTACCTACAGACAAAATAGTGGGGCCTCCGTACCACATGTGGGATGTATTCCTTACCAGTTCCCTTGTATTACCGATACAGACCCAGCCCATCAGCGCTCTTGCATTTTTGGAAGACGATGACGGTGTGCCTATTCTATACCTGTGCTCTGAGCCACCATCTCCAGCCACCCTACACCGCCGCGTGTAGCTACTGGGTTCAAACGTGCGAGCTACCGCCAGCACCTGCGCCGCTACCGCTACGACCTCGGCTCTACTGCCATGATCTTCACCTGGATCAAGCAGACCTACACCAGCAACGGCGTCAAGCAGGAGACGTACAACGAGCACGGCATCTTCACGCCCAGTGCGAACCCAGCTGGCTGGCTGCAGATACGGGTGAAGTCACGCATCTACCCCGAGATGTACGGGTGTAGGGCCTTCGCGCAAGTCGCGGACATCAGGAACGCCCTCAACCGTCACTGCAAGTTCTACGAGGGGGACCCCATCAACGTCTACAAGGCCACGGCGACGGAGAAGGACGTCAAGATAGACAGGAGCTGCGTCGGCCCCCGCGCTGCGGAGCACGGCGCCTTGCAACCTCTACCCGATGACTTCTGGGTCCCCAGCGCGTGGCACCCGTGCGCGATGCAGCGGGCTCACCCCAAAGAGATTGCGGTGCCGCTCGACGTAGCACCCCTGGCGATGAGGAAGGACATCGCCGTCGAGGCTACTACCGACGTGACCATCGCCGACGTCAAGACCGCCACCGTGGACCAGATCATGTTTGGCGGGGGCCCTTTTGAGCCCCGCTACATCGCGCAACTGATGATCTACGACGACTCCGGGCACGGGATGCGCTGCCACCAGAAGCTCTGCTATAACCCCTACACGGGCTTCGCCGAGTCCTACAAGATGAAGTACCAGACGATCGATGGGAATGTGATTACCGAGGGTTGCTACGCCGACCTCGATTGGAAGTGCATCCGCCACCCGACGTACAAGGACTACTACGAGGGTCACGGTGACTACAAGCGGCACGGCGTCCACCACAGCAAGCCCACGATCATGTGCGACCAGAACCCGCTGCCTGTGGACGGCGCCGAGAATATGAACGAGGAGGACACGCCAGCGCTCGGCCAAGCGCGCGGCCCTGACCCTGCCTGAGCCGCCGCGCAAGCAGCGCAGAGACCAGTAGCTCTTTGCCACATGTGGTCATACAACTTACGTGCCGTGCCGCTTTCAAGCTACCAATAGCCGGCTACCCATCGCATAGCAAAATGTGGATTGTCCCTCGTCGCCCTACGCACCGCCACCCCTGCGTGACAAGCGGTCTTGTCATGTCAGGCGGTACGCCTTTAATTTCGCCAATTGTGCTGTTACATATTGGCAGTACACCCGATAGCACCAACGCTATCCGCTATGTTGTGTACTCCATGCTGGTGGCAGTTACACTACGACGGTCAGCAGCCTGCATGCTCTGTGCCCCGTGTTTAGCGTACGGCTCAAGCTTATGCTTACACCACCCATACTGGCGCGTTGCCGTCAACATTTACATGTCGCGTCACGCCAACTACTACCTGAAGCATGAGACGACTGGCGCCGACGAGATCATGACCTTTTACGCAGAGAGGCCGCGCGGCCAGATCGGTGTCTGGGCCCAGGATTTCTATCCCTTGTCCATGCACTCTTTCGGACGGGTCCTTGTCCAACTGCTGGGCTCAACTACTAGCCGAGATGTCGCAAAACCAGAACAGCGCCTACGGCTTCTACGTCTCCGACATCCAGGCGGCCTTCCAACACTCTTGCAAGTACGCCGAATCCAGAGACGTACAAGTTTTCAACGCTACGTGCCCATAAGGCTCCTACATACCAGAACCAGACGAACGCGGAGGTATGGGGCCGCATTGGCAGAACCCTATGCCACTGCAGCGCAACCATTGGCTCACGCGCTCAGCTACCTGATCATCAAGACCGAAGAATACACGGACACGACGACCTTCCAGGTATACTTCCCCACTGTGGGCAAGACGTTCGTGCCGCAGTTACCGACTTACCATGCGCCTAATGTCGGCGACCTGAAGGAGGTTACGTCCCTACTTACGCATGGTCCTGTTCTCCAGCATTACCCCACGGAGATGTTTGCCGAGCTGGGGCTCTACGACCCGTTCCACCAAAGCGCCATCTTCAGTAACAACGAGAACTTCGTTTACAATCCGACCAAGAACGGGGGAGCCCGCTATTTCTACCACTTCATCAACCAGCACAGCGACTTCCAGGATCATCCAGTGGTACCCGACATAGGTGACATCAACTACAAGACGCAGGCGAAGATATACGAGGCCACCGTTCTTGGCTACGCAGGGCACGAAGCGCCGACGCACTGATTGCCGCCAAAAAGAAGCTGTACACACTGCTGCGATGCAGTCAACATCATTTTCTCCAGATTCTCCGTACACCTTTACAAAACGTTCCACTAGGTCCTCTGGGGACTACCTGGTTACAATCGGGAGGGGGAGTGACCTACGACGTAAACGGTTGCACTCCTCCCCCTTTGAGGCACACGGCGACTCCGCCTCCTGTCCTCCCTCCACGCGCGGACGACCTCCATCCCCCCCCCCCTCCCCCCCCTCTTCGTCGGTAGATTCAACGCTGCCCCGTCGGGGTACGGTGGAG